GGTACGCAGTGTTGATCCTGTGCAGAAGGCCGAGAATTCGGCGACTCCGCCAGCGGAACAACCAATCCCTCTGTAATTTGTTCATTTCGTTTCGATGGTAAACCGGTATTGGAACACGTCAAGGATCGTAGCCACCGTTCGCTTGCCTCTAAACCAAGCTTCGAACGAAACAGAGACGCAAACAAGCCTTACCAGCGAGTGGTTGCTTTTAGTACATGCTACTACTCAAGCCGTTTTTCGAGTGTCTATGCTTTTCACAAAGGGCAAATACGAAACGTATTTGCCCTTTGTGAAAAGCATTTGAATAGCATCCAGATTTACTGAGCTCATAGTGAACATAACATCGCTCAAACTGATGACTCCGAGGCTCAGTATTAGTCACAAATTCAGTACAGTCATTCCACCTTCTCTTATACTGACATATACGATTCTTTATTAAAGCCACCCGAATACCATTTTTATAAAGGTCTCTCTCGTAAAAAGAAATGTTTTGCATTAGTCAACACCACAGACTCTTGCCTGTTTCTTCTACGCAAGGATGAAATTCAAAATCAGGCTGGAACGCACCAGGCAAGCCGATGCGATCATGTGTTTTTGCGATATTTCGTGATGTAGCAAGGTTATAAGGAACCACAGTAGCTAGAATTTGTGACATACTGCCTCTGAAGTGTAGGAAATTAATTGTGCAGCTGTGTGGCGTGTCTGTTGTAGGTGCCGGCTTCAATGATCCGAGAAATGGAAGAATGGGGGTGCGCGAGAAAGACCCCACTAGAAGAGCTGAATTTGAAATCTCTTAGTCGCACAGCAGTAAGGAACATTCACTCAAAATTCCAGCCTCTCAGCTTTTCTCATATCGAGTTAGCAACTTTCTTCCCAAAACTTTTACGTACCCGTAAACGAAGCATGGCAGCTCTAAGGAGCTGAATCTGAAGTTATTTGGTCGTACATAAGTACTGAACATTCCCCTAAAGTTCCAGCTTTTTAACTTTCCTCGTTCCCGAGTTAGCAATTTCCCTGTCACAATTTTCAAGCCCCGCACGCGGGGATCAGACGTGCGTGACGGTTGGCGCCGCGACCCTGGGGCGGCACTTGACTGGGTAACCAACTAGCACAATTTTGGCGCCGAAGTTTGCTTGGTTGCCGAGTTGAAATACCCGGACACACACACACACACACACACACAAGGTCATTGCAATATGCATTTTTGCAATTTGCATATATGCGAAGACGAGGCACGCAAATCGCATTCCTGTTAATCTCAGATGTGAATCGCATTCCTGTTAATCCTTTCCTGTACTTTTTTATGCGTTTTTGTTGTGCAGCGCGGCAGCAGCCAGCAAAAACCGAATATTGTCGAGAGACTGTCTGTGTGTGTGTTCGGGAAGCGAGTGCATTTTGTCACCCACTTTCATCTCAGCAACCAGGAA